ATATTGAACAAACATTAAGGTTTTAATGAATTTAGTTATAAACGTATTATTTAAATACGTATATATAATAGTTACTCTAATATCGTTTATGTAATAAACGAGAATTCTTTAAGTCATTTATGTAATTTTTGGAACGAAGTTCCTTATCGCGCGTTGTGAAAGGGGGCTAGACGGAAAAAATTCTTACGAAAAGTTGTCACGACACTTTTTTCCTATTTGCTATTGTAATACACCGGTTCTCGTCCGATCACCGAAGTTAAGCAACGTCGGGCGAGGTCAGTACTTGGATGGGTGACCGCCTGAGAACACCTCGTGATGTTGGTTTTTTTAAAATGACGTTTTTTAAGTGACGGAATAAATTAAGACCAAAAGTTGTAACGACACTTTTTGCTATAGTTGTTTGAATTTGAATTTCGTTCCATCCGGGTGTCCCTTGACACCTCTAAAGTTTTTATTATAAATAAGACGGTCAATTTGCAAATTTAGACCTATATAACAAATCTATGTAACAAACTACATGTAGTTACATGTTTTTTCAACTACTATGATATTTGTGAAATACTTCAGATTAACCAATCAAATCTCTTAATGTTATGATTACTTTGGAGATGTATTTAGTTGCTTACATTAATATAAACAAACCATATCACTACATAGTATAAAACGAAGTCGCTTCCTCTGTCCCTATGTATGATTAAATCTTTAAAACTATGCAACGGATTTTGATGTGTTTTTTTTAATAGATAGAGTGGTTGAAGAGGATGGTTTTTATGTATAACATCCATTAAATATGAATGGAGAAATACTGTTATTTTTGAGGTTTCTAATGTGATGTCGTAAATCGTAAATAATTTCATTTTTTCCGCTTGGATTGCGAACCCTACGAGATTTATCAAAATAATGTACTAAGTATTGTACATATTGAAAAGGCCTACAGAAATTTCCGCGATGGTATATGTCTCCCTCTTATGGATATCCCACAATATTTATTTTTGTCATTTACTTTTTACGACAAATAATGGCTAATTTTCAAAGCGATTTTAACCAATACAGCATTAATCCTTATCCATTTAACTTAAATACATTGTTGATATAATATAGATCTATACAAATGTAAAAATTGCGGGAAGCAGCGCGTCGGAGGCCGCGGTTCTCCCTATACTCTATAGCACTTTGAATTTTGTATCAGCATTGCATCCGTGCGAAGCCGGGGCGGGTCGCTAGTTTAAGATAAACTTCAAATTTTATACTTATCTATATAACACTCAGTACTTTCCAATAACATCAATAATAATACTACAATAATACATTAAATTCGACAAAAGGTCGAGATTACCAGAGAGTTCATTGTCCATGTACTCGCGAACATTCTGAACAGCTGTTGCCGAGGACAACTGCGATATTGCTTACATCAAACTGATAACATTAACAACAATGTAATAATCGAATTCGAGGTCACGGGGTGGACATTACGTTATCTACATACATATTTTTTAATAAGACTGCGGTTCTGTTACATTGTTTTAGAATATTTTAAAGCTTTTCAATATTTTGTCCCTATCACTTTGCAAAAAAGTAGATGAGACAAGAAACAATTAACTAACGCTTGTAGTACGTATTAGGGTTTAGTTTACTGGGCTTATAATTTTTGACTTACTACAAATTATATGAAACAAAGAAACTTCAATTAGTATGAATAATTTCCAGTGTATAAGCATGCGGAAAATATGTAGATTAAAAATCTGTTTCCAGTTTGTTTGTTTAGGCAAAGTAATAAATTTTCATTTTATAAACACTACATCATAATATAAAGATGACATAATTATTATCAAATTAAGCATATTGCAACATGAAGAGCGGTACAGTTGTGAAAAAAAATGTGCTCTATAAAAATAATTTTCGAATCCACTCTAATTTTCGTGAAAATATCATCACAAAACATCTCAACAATACTGCTTATAATTTCAAAATGAAAATTCAAAAACGATTAAATGCACATAACATTAGTAATTCCTAACTTTTAACGGCAAATCTTTTGGCTTTTTTCAACCATAGACACTTATTTGCATCAAAAAAGAATGATATCGGATATTGTAGCCAGTTTTTGTAACCACTACGACCGGCAGAACTTCCAGAGGTCTGGGTTGCATTATGCCGGAATCGCGTAACTAAATTATATCTTGAATATACGTTGACATATTAAATGTTGATTTGTAATAAAATACACGATGAATGAATATAGTTTTTCCCTGGAATTAAACTCATATGATATTTATGCTTTTTATAATGGCGTGTCTAAACGGGCCATGTTTTGCTGCAATTGATGGCTGCACTGTTGGCCACTAATTGCCCGGCCATTATGGCGCGTCTAAACGGGCCATGTTTTGCTGCAATTGATGGCTGCAACACTGTGGCCGGCAACATTGCAAACAATAGCAGCCACATTATGCAATATTGCAGTAATGTCCCGGCCATATAGCCAAACATGTTTTGTATAGCCACATATGGCCGATGTTGCCCCGATAGGTGGCCGGACGATCGCTAGGCTATCGAATTCAACTGCAATATTGCACGGCCAGTTCTCTTGTTGTTTCAGTCACTCTCTTTGTTATGGCATAGTGTATCCTTTTCTACGCGACATGACGTTTGCTTTGAGTGAAGTGTGCCTGTTGCTTTATTCTGTGTTTTGCGATCAGCTGTATTTGACGTTAGATTACTACGTAAAAATGACTACTTTTGACATTCTAGTTCTTGAATAATTTATTATAAAGACTTGTTTCTAGACTCAAATTGTCTACAGTTTCACGCCTATTTAAGTAAGGTCGAATCCACAATCTCTTCTTTTTCTGTTTCTTTTTTAAAACAATATAAGCTGCTGCGACAAGTGTGATTTCGTCAGCCATTGTTGCCGGTTTGTGTAGCCCGTTTAGGAGTCTGCATCATGGGCCATACTATTGCAACACATTGCCCAGCCATAGATTGTTCGGCCATCAGCTGCATTAAAATATTTTTGTAATGGCCGGGCAATTAGTGGCCAACAGTGCAGCCATCAATTGCAGCAAAACATGGCCCGTTTAGACGCGCCATTACAAAAATATTTTAATGCAGCTGATGGCCGAACAATCTATGGCTGGGCAATGTGTTGCAATAGTATGGCCCATGATGCAGACTCCTAAACGGGCTACACAAACCGGCAACAATGGCTGACGAAATCACACTTGTCGCAGCAGCTTATATTGTTTTAAAAAAGAAACAGAAAAAGAAGAGATTGTGGATTCGACCTTACTTAAATAGGCGTGAAACTGTAGACAATTTGAGTCTAGAAATAAGTCTTGATAATAAATTATTCAAGAACTAGAATGTCAAAAGTAGTCATTTTACGTAGTAATCTAACGTCAAATACAGCTGATCGCAAAACACAGAATAAAGCAACAGGCACACTTCACTCAAAGCAAACGTCATGTCGCGTAGAAAAGGATACACTATGCCATAACAAAGAGAGTGACTGAAACAACAAGAGAACTGGCCGTGCAATATTGCAGTTGAATTCGATAGCCTAGCGATCGTCCGGCCACCTATCGGGGCAACATCGGCCATATGTGGCTATACAAAACATGTTTGGCTATATGGCCGGGACATTACTGCAATATTGCATAGTGTGGCTGCTATTGTTTGCAATGTTGCCGGCCACAGTGTTGCAGCCATCTAATGCAGCAAAACATGGCCCGTTTAGACGCGCCATAAATATACTAATAACAATATACCAATATAGTTGTTGCTTTAAAAGTATGTTCTATGATTTTTCTTTGCTTTAGCTTCAACTGAGGACAACCAAATAACATATAAAATACATAATTATTTAATATTTTAAATTGAATTTTGAAGCCGGGTATATAATTGCTGCCATCATAATATTGTACCCGAATGTACTGAACATTGTTTTTAATTTACAACTAAAACAATATCATGAGTGTATTTTATGTGATTATTATGCAATTTTAGTAATTACTAATTATTAAGGTCAAACAAATAAAATAACGCTTAGACGTTCTTAACCTTTAATCGAGGGCGTTTATTAAACGTTAATTCAACTTTTTTGCGGATGTCCAAGGATTGCTATTACATCCGAGGACTAATCTGGATGATAAAGGTGAATTGTCTCTGCAGAGAATTGATCCAATAGAAGCAAAAGTATGGCTAACTTTCAGAGTTAATACCCCTTGTAACTTGATGGTGATATTTTTTATAAAGGAATTCATAAAATAATTATTCCTGTATCCATGCGGGCGAAGGCGAATAGCCTTTGGACATGTAGGTACAGCTTAGTGTAGTATATCGAATTATTTCAAACGTATTGACTATGATAAGTTTTATCTATTTGCGATAAGAGTTGATAAACAAAACATTGAAGAGCTATGAGCTTTCGCTATACAAAATAAATGTTTGAATTTGTGTTTACGACCTAAAATAAACTTTGACAATTTTGTTAGCAATCAATCATCAGAAATTGGTAATTAAGTTAGCAAAGTAATTTGAGCACAATCTCGCTGTAGCTAATATAAATGTTTTCCTTCGACAATTAAATTCGTTATTCTGATATTTGTAATAATGTAAGTGAAGTTCAAGGTCATATTAAAATGTCACGAAATACCAAGAATGTTTCTATATTTTACTAGCTGATCTGACAAATAACTGAACAGAACTGTCTTACTTAAAATATTGAATTTGAATTGGTATAATTAATTAAAAAAAAAATTTATAAACTTAGCTTGGCTTCGTTTTTATATTTATTCTGTAAATTGCGGACAACTGTCAGTTACGTAAAATTAATATTGTCGTTAAGTTTTCTGCACTTTTTAATGTTCCGCTTAACTTCCTTTAATTTTTCTTTCCTATATATATAATTATTTTAGTATCTGTAAACAACTACCGTTATATAAAATCAAGTCAAAAATTATTGACCTCGTCATTACATCCATATTAGAAATAGTAAAGGATACATCCTAAGGTTTCCGCTCTTGTCGCCAATAGCAAGGAGCTTTTGTATGGGGTCCCAGGCCAGCGCCGTCGGAGAGAAGGGGAATCCATGACGAAAGGTCTGTGGACAAAGAAAAGCCTTTACTTTAAGGTTCATGGAAATTCATTAATTAAGGCCAATATATTTAGTTTCATCGTTCAAGGGTATATGCACTCTAAATAATGTATTTTTAGCTTTAGTATAAATATACAATGCCCTAAGTAAGGCACGGTAATTGAATATTTAAATAATTTTAAACCTTATAGTAACGATACACTCTCGAACTCGTAGAATTCAAGAATACTGTCGAAGAATCGTATTGCATTTTTAAAGAAATATAAGTATTATGTATACGATAACTTATAAAAGTCATGAAAAATAAGAAAACGAGCTTGGTGATTAAAAGAAACCTCTTCAATACTTGTATACTACTTGTACAAACATATGGATATCAAACTTGGGCGCCTACTAAAGCGCAGCACACAAGGCTACAGGTGTATCGAAGATCGACGTAACAATGTATGATAGGGAAGAAAATAAAGAATATACAAAATAAAGAATACAGCGTTAAGAAAAATAACTAAGGCAACAGATGTTACAATAACAATAAAGAAACTAAAATGGGCAGGGCACATGGCAGGAGGAACAGGAAAGTGGAGCATAGAACTACTAAACTTGCGCCCAAGGTGATAGACCACATTAATGAAACAGCAGGTGGTACATGGCAGAGAGTGGCACAGTGCAGAGAGGAATGGCGGGATTTGGAGGAGGTCTTTGTCAAGAAAGTGCACACAGATACACTTATCTGCATACCCAGAAGAGGATTAAAATCGAAATGTGTTTAAATATAAATGTATATGAATTAAAGGATTTTATTATTAATATTTATTATCATACGATAACTATTAGGTAGAAAAATATGCACCCGACAGTATCACCTTGGGTGCATATTTTTATTATGTTAGTATCACCTGCCATCAATATCAAACGGTCAGAGGTTATCAAGAGAGAGTGAATACAGCTATTATAAATAAAAAACAAAAAATAGTATAAATGGCTTGTTGTGGAGCATTGTGGCATAGTCGGCAGGAACAGGCAGCAGCATGAGGTTCTTGGTGTTGGCGACTCTGATCGCTGCGGCGGCAGCTTCCGCACTTAAAGATACCAACTACAACGATTTCGTTATCGGCAAAGATACCTTAGGTACGTAATTTATCAAAATTATTTAATAGGAAACGCTGTTATTTTATAAAAAAAATTGAAAGATAATTATAATATATATTAATTAAATATATAGTGTAAAAAATCTATCCGAATTAAAAAATAATTGAAATACTCGTATTTAAAATATATATTTGTTAGTTAAGTGTAATTTTTAGTGAATAAAAACAAGTCTAATAATATGTTTTATTTTATTTACAGTAAACGTTGATATCAAAACTAAGGAAATCTACTGCTGGAAGCTCTTGAACCACATTCTGCAACCTACAGTCTACGATGACATCCGTGAAGTAGCCAGGGACTTTGTACTTGAAGATAACTTCGACAAATTCTTGGTCAGTACTATCATATTATACTTTATCTTAGTTATATCTATATAACTTTTCAGGTATTTTACTTACAATTACTTACTGAAAGTTGACTTTAGTAAATATTTAATGTAAATTAATTCTTCTTCTTATAGTGTCATCTCCTTGCGAAGGTTGGCGATCATCATGGTTATTATAATAAAAATTTGTATATATCTTGGTTTAAAAAAACTTAAAATACATTCTTAAAAAATATCACATCGGTTTTGGTTAATTGTATTTTTTATATATTTTGCTTATCCACGTGATTCTAGTTTCACTTTATAAACTTAAACAATCTCTCGTCACTACGTACCTCACGAGAATATGTGGTATTAATAACATAAAGAATAATAACTCCCATTTGTAACTATATAGGCATGACAATTAACGTAAGTAAACAAAATCTATTTTTTCTTTATAGAAAGACGATGTCGTCAAACGCTTCATTGAAGTATTCAAAATGGGTATGCTCCCCCGTGGCGAGATCTTCGTGCATACCAACACGCTTCACATGGACCAGGCAATCGTCACCTTCCGCATGCTCTATTTCGCTAAGGACTTCGACACATTCATCAGAACAGCTTGCTTCCTTAGGGAACGCATCAACGGTGGTATGTTCGTCTACGCCTTGACTTGCGCAGTCTTCCACCGCCACGACTGCCGCGGCGTCGTTCTACCTGCTCCATATGAAATCTACCCCTACTTCTTCGTAGACAGCCATATCATTAACAAAGCTTCAATGCTGAAAATGTCCAAGGCCGCAACTGACCCAGCCATCTTTAACTACTACGGCATCAAAGTCACTGACAAGAATCTGTTAGTGATTGACTGGCGTAAAGGAGTAAGAACGACCCTCACCAAGGATGATCGTTTGTCATACTTTACTGAGGACATCGACTTAAACACTTACATGTACTACTTGCATATGAGCTACCCCTACTGGATGGTCAAGGATACATACAACCTACAAAAAGAGCGTCGTGGAGAGATTAGCATGTACGCTTACAAGCAGCTACTGGCCCGCTACAGGCTTGAGCGTTTAACCAACAAGATGTGCAACATTGACATGATTAAATTCGACGATGAACACAACGTAGGCTACTGGCCGAAGATCCGTCTGCATACTGGTGATGAGATGCCAGTCCGTCCCAACAACGTCAAGCTGGTTAACAAGTACAACCTAAAGGATAGAATGTACGTGGACGACATTGAGAGGATGATCCGTGATGGTATCACAACAGGCAAGATCGAAAAAGTACGATATTTTCATTTATAAAACATATATGATGAATTTTCGCACACATTTCTTTTTATATTAAATTTAGATAAAATTTTAAATATTTTGTTAAAATGTAAATTTGTATGTTTGCAGCGCGATGGTACAGTTATCCAGCTGAAGAAGGCCGAGGACTTTGAGAACCTCGCAAGAATGCTCCTGGGCGGTTTGGGTGTCGTTGATGATGACGCCAAGGTCATTCATGTCGTGCACCTCTTTAGAAGGCTTTTATCTTACGGAAACTACAACTTTGAGAAGTATGTTTATGAACATTCAACTTTTACTTTAAGCATTGTATTATTGAAATAAGCTAATTTAAAAGTGTCCTCACGATCTTTAAATATCGACAATACTCTCATAAATCATTTCATATTGATAGAGTAATGGCAATTATTCTTGCTATTATCAGCCGATATTATAAAGTAAATACTAATCATATTTTTGATTCAGGTACACATACATTCCCACTGCTTTGGACATGTACACTACCTGCCTGCGAGACCCTCTTTTCTGGAGAGTAATGAAGCGAATTACAGAGCACGCTGATCTTTTCAAATTGTACTTACCTAAGTACACAAGAAATGAACTAGATTTCCCCGGCGTCAGAGTAGACCGCATCACCACAGACAAACTAGTCACCTTTATGGATGAGTACGATCTCGATATAACCAACGCGCTTTACTTGGATGAAGCCGAAATCCAGAAGAAGAAATCGGACATGACATTCGTCGCTCGCATGCGCCGTCTTAATCACCATCCCTTCAAGGTAACCGTCGATGTCGAATCGGAGAAAGCAGTTGACGCCGTCGTGAGAGTGTTCTTTGGACCCAAATACGACTGCATGGGTCGTCTCCTTAACTTCAACGACAAACGTCATGACATGCTCGAAATTGACAGCTTCTTGTACAAACTTCAGACTGGTAAGAACACTATCGTCCGCAACTCAATAGAAATGCACGGAGTTATCGGAGACAGGGAATGGACCCGCCGTTACTTCGACAACTCAGGCGATACCACAGGAGCGTATGAGAAGATTATCGACAGTTACTGGTACAAGACACGCATCGGATTCCCACACAGGCTTCTCTTACCTCGCGGTACTGTTGGCGGTGTTGAGATGCAGATGTTCGTAATTGTAACTCCAGTACGCACTGGTATGTTGCTACCAACCGTAGATGTCAATGTCATGAAGGACCGTCACGCTTGCCGATGGACCGTATGCTTTGACACAATGCCGCTTGGATTCCCCTTCGACAGAAAAATCGATATGACCGACTTCTTTACTACCAACATGAAGTTCACAGACATTAAGATCTTCTACAAGGACATGAGTACATCCAACTCTGTAAAAGATATGGACACGTCTGACATGATCTTGAAACGCGACGACCTCACCTACTACGACAAAGACATGTTCATGAAATGGACCTACAAGGACGTCATGATGATGAGCGCTGACAAGATGATGAGAATGTAAGGGGACTAATTCCTTTATTAATTTTATGAATAAATGGCTATGTATCAAAATTAAATGGCAGTTATTATCATCCCTTCTCTCTCTTAATTATTTTGTTTTAAATTATTTTAATGAAATCTATTATGTAATAACTTGAGCAGACTACATAATATTCAGCATGTACTCGAATACTTTGACGCTTGATAAAAATAAATCTTTGAAACGATTTGCACAATTGCAAATCAATCCTAAACTCTACATACATCTGAATGTGAAATGATCTAAATTTCGACACGGGTCAATCAGGCGAGTCATCCGCATCGGGCGCATGCTATCGGAATGTAAAATATACTGTAGAGCCAATTTTAGAGTACCGGTACGCTAGCTTCGGAATTTTTAATTACAAGCTCTGCTAGCTGTTAAGTTATTTTGCACTCACCTAGTCTCTTTGCTTTTTACACTGTTTCTAGAACAGGCCAGAGTTCAGACGTTTATTGTTAACTTCAGGTCAAAAGGTTTAATTAGCAGATGCTTTTATCTGTGGTTAATCGAAGTTGATTTTACATACAGCTTAACGTTACAATTATATGTAAAATGCAAGAGGTAGAGCTATATTTTACATTACTATTTTATATTTTAGTGGAAAGGGCTTCCAACAAAAGCATAACAATTGTGAAGACCCAACTATTTCTGCTAAATATGAAGGCAGTTAAATGTTCAATCTGTCATAAAACGATTCGTCAGCTAGAGTATTATCTGTGACAAAGTAACTCTGAGTCGGTGAATTGATCATGTTGTGGTTGACAGGTTAATCTCCCGACTTCGAGATAACAACATCCCCGATGTATATATTAATGTAAAGGAAATTCTATTTGAAAAGGACGTGTGGCTGTAAGGCTTCGTAACGTAAAAGTTCTGTACAATTTCTATACTTAAAAGCTTTATAAATCAATTCGAGTTTTAAAAATCAACGTAGTTTCTGAAAAAACTAAATAATGATTCCAATTAACTCGATCTAATATCTTCTTAAATTGGATGTTAATTAATGAGTCATGACTGTTCTGAATACTGATTTTATAGCGATTTTATTGAACCATAAATAAGGAATAGGGGTAATGTGAGACCAGGAAATATTCTATTAAATGAGGAAAAACAAGTTGATATCCGTCAAACGATTGGCGCTCATAGCAACAGTTGGCTCACTGGTTGCTTCCAAGTTCATAACTTGTTGCCAATATACAACATCGTTAACAATATCTGTAACATGTAAGAATCATAAGTAATGTATTGTTAGATTTTCGATAAGTAATTCGATTATACGTGTAACTAAAACCAATAATATAGCTATGATTAAATTTGTAAAAAAAACAAAGGCGTCATAAAAAACTTTAAGGCGGCTAATAAAACTTTAATTACAAAAGTAAAACTACACCTCACATCTAAACTAACAGTGCTTGTTCAGGGACGTTTACAAATAAGAGATATAAAACCTCGCAAAATCCAATTAAGTAAAACAAAAGTTGTTCGATCTGTGGTGGTATAGAGTAGAGGGAGGATGGAGGGTGCATTCAACAAACGCTCGCATTATGCTCGATCGGACTGCAATTCCTTCAGTTGCATTGTATAGCACGGTCGCTCACAATCCATCAACACGGCACCTTAACAATATATAAGCGCTTTGTTTGTCTCCGGATTAAAATTGTAGAATGCGTCTATCTGGTAAATGAAACAAATGAATTAGAATCGATTATCTTTGTCAAAGACTTCAGTCATCATCATGTTTATTGTAAACCAAATCACTTGGAGAAGTATATAAACTATATTGTGTTATACAAAATGGAAATAACAAATAATGCACTCAGGCTCTATAAACGTAAATAAGGCACAAATGTGGCGTGATATATATGCCACGTCGGGAATTAACTGATAACACGTCCTCTCCCCCTCTTCGGAAGTTATACTCGTGCGGGATGTCCTTGAAATACCCGATAACTTCCTGAAGTATAACTGAAATATCGGATGCTGCTGCGATTTTACAAAGACATTAAACCTGGGCGCCTCACTTTATATTATATAAAAAAGACAATCAGTGGCGCTACAACCTCTTTAGGTCTTGGCCTCAGATTTCTGAATATGTTTTATAATCATTTTTTAAAATCTAATAGGCAAGTAGGTGATCAGCTTTCAGTGCCTGATACACGCCGTCGACTTTTCGGGTCTAAGACATGTCGGTTTCCTCGTGATGTTTTCCTTGTGATGTTCGAGCAAATGTTAAATGCTCTGAAAATAAAAAGTATCATGCTACTTCCTAAAAATGAAATTTTAGAAAGTAGCATGATCTAGCCACCAGTAATATTTTCTTAACTTTACCTGGACGCCTCAGTTTCTATTACAATTAGTTATTTAGTATAAACATGCTTACAAGACAGCGAAATAAATATTGAATTTAATTTGTAGAAATTTTAGAAAGTAGCATGATTTAGCCACCAGTAATACTTTCTTAACTTTTAATATAACATACATAGGTTTTCACAAATTATTAAAAACCTAATAGGATTAGAGTGTTAAAAATTCTAAAAATATGTCAACACATGTGAGCACGGTAGCAGCTGTGAAGCGCGCATCCATCACGGGCTTAGACTGTCCAAGCGTCAACTGACAGCTTTACCACCTGACACTTCAAACTATCTTTTGTTAATATTATATACTCGTAATTATGTTTTGCATGTTTCTTAGATACTAAAGACTCTGCAATATTTTATTGGTTTTAAACATGTTAAACGATATTGTATAAAATATAATTATGAATGTTTTACAAAATATTGTGTAGATTAAAATATAACTGCTATTAGCTAGGTGTATGGCTTTACTCCTTCAGGAAAGGGCTCTCTTGAATCCTTTGAGTAGGAGGGTTATGTAGGGACGGACATGAAGTGGATATTCTCAAGCGATAGAAGCGCTTCTCCATAAATATTTTTATGAATAAGCTTTACAGAGATTATGGCTTCAACTTTTTTCATAATATAAAGTTGAAGACTGGATAAAAGATGGAGGAAACTTAAAACAAGTATACGTAAAAAGCAGAAGGTTATCATGAATACATTTAGTCATTTATATTTATTTCCAACACACAAATGTACAGTATTAACAATATTCTTAAACTACATAGTAATAATAATAACAAAACAATTATTTATCAATTTAATAAAATTATTGAAAATTAAAACATATTATTTAAAAAGTTTGCTCCTTGTAGCAGTGTACCTTTAATTCTGGCAGCATTTTCTTGCTGTATTGCGATACTTATTCGTTGAGCGAGGAAAGCACCAGCTCTGGGGTCACCGGTACTATCTACCAGGCGCCAACTTAAATCTTTAATTAGCGCCACTTGAACGCCATGGGGTTCAAGAGTGTCTATTCCAAAGGGAACAAAATCAAAAGTTGGAGGAAAGACTCTAATACTTGAGCCGATTATTATATTCCGCCGGCTCTGCGACGAATAAAAATAATAATTAGTTTTATGTTCCTTAATATTATATTATGTCGTCTGTATTACGACGTAGTAAATGCGGCTTATTTGAGACCCTAAACCGAAAGTAGACTTATAGTGATGTGTTAGATGTGGTTAATGTACCGATCTTACAAAGTCATGAATAAGGCTAATAGTGCGGGACGTATAGGGCCTTATATTTAACAACAGTGCCTCAGATATTGCAAAAAGGCTGCTTAATGAGGCTGCTGATTATTTGATCGTATAACCAAATTTCTCTTAGTACTGATTATTATAGATATTTTTTTTTATGAAATAGGGCAATCGAGCAGGGGTTCGACCATAACAGGTAACGTATCAATACATGCGTTGGAGGCTCTTTTGGAAAACTGAAGGTTCTTTCACCTTGGGAGGACCTCCACTAGTCGCCGATTCCATAGTTCGCTACTTCGTAAAAGGAAATGCCTATAATATTGAGGAATAATGTTTATACGCTAACTCTTGACTCCGCTCCTTCTTGTGCCAGGATTGCTAGTCTTACCTTGGAATATGTGTTAATACCTGAAACAAACGAATACTTTTTGTAATGATAAAGTTGAAAGATTGATATATTATTTTTGTACTTATAAATCATGGTATTTGTACGAGAATATGTTATAAAACTTACTTACTTACAACTTATATATTTCATGCAAGTACGATTTACTAATTTTCATCATTGTTATGCAATAAATTCAGATAAAAAAGTTATACTCTACTCTATAATATTCAGTAACTGTTACTGCAGAGGAATAATATAATAGTAACAACACATTTTTGATGGCGCAGATACACACACAAAGCGTAGTAAACTATTAAAATTGTGTGGAAAAACGATGCTTTCGAGCGGTCAAATACTGACATTATACACCTATTACTTGACGAACCTATCGTAAAAATTATGCTACCGCCTTAGACTACTAACTACTAGTCTACGCGTGAAAGTAGACAGTTTTAAACTTTTTAATCTTCTTGCCTTTTGATGCGAAAAATTAGAGAAAATGAATTTTAATACTAAAAGCTCTAAACTTTAATAATTTCATCAAATTGTTCAACACAAAGAGATCTATAGAAAATGTTTTCTTAAATAATTATTTTAAATTTGTACGAAATTTACGAAACCAGTAAGCTTTTTTTTTACGAAATTGAGTAAATTTCTCATCTGAACAAGAAATAATAATCGCCATTGCCATAGATCCCCTTCTATCGTGGAATCATCTTCTTGTTACATAAAAATGTTTCGAATGAGAGGACGCTAAAGCATAAAAGTAGACGAATATAGAAATAAAAATTATATGAAGAATCTGCTATTTTTTATTAGCTTAGGATTATGAGACAATTATTTTTATAGTCTTACAGAATCAGCACAGCGCATTTATAACGACTTTTAAGTAACGCAATATATAATCTTTGGTTTATGCGAGTAAAGACCTAAATAACTCTTTTAATTATTGCATTACAGCGCTTAAAAATCCAGTTAAAAATTTAATAA